TTGTTGAGAAAGTTCGATGCATGCTCAACATGACTAAACTCCCAAAGCCATTCTGGGGTGAAGCTGTATTGACATCTTGCTATCTAATAAATAGGTCACCTTCCGCTCCATTGAATTTTGAAGTTCCGGAGAAGATATGGACGGGTAAAGAAATATCATATTCTCACTTGAGAGTATTTGGGTGCAAGGCGTTTACACATGTATCAAGTGAACTGCGGAAGAAGTTGGACCTCAAATCCACTCCATGCATCTTTATTGGATATGGAGATGAAGAGTTCGGGTACAGGCTATGGGACCCAGAACTAAAGAAGGTTATTCGAAGTAGAGATGTGGTTTTCTATGAAAACCAGTATTATGATTTCAAGGCACCGGTTAACAAGCAACAAAGCTCCAAAGTTTCAGATATAATATCTGAAAATAAAGAAGATGTTTCCGCTGAAGAAATGGATGAAGAAGTCGATGATGCATATCAAGAAGGTGTTGATGAGGGGGAGCTTCCACCCCTGGATAATTCAGATCCACTGCTAGAAGTTGCAAACGAAGGAACTCAAGTTAGACGATCCGAACGAGTACGTGCTCCATCAACAAGATATCTGACTTCAAACTACATCCTTCTTACAGTGAGGGGGAGCCAGAGAGTTTTCAAGAAGCTCAATCTCATATGACAAAGCAAATTGGCAGAAGGCCATGGAAGAAGAATGAATTTCTTTGCAGAAGAATCAAACATATGAGTTGGTAAACCTCCCCAAAGGAAAGAAAGCCTTGAAAAACAAGTGGGTTTTCAAGTTGAAGAAAGAAGGCAAGGGAAATACTATGAAGTATAAGGCGAGACTCTCGTTGTCAAAGGTTTCCAACAAAAAGAAGGAATCGACTTTGATGAATTTTTTCGCCAGTTGTGTGAAGATGATGTCTATCCGAGTTGTACTCGGATTAGTTGCCAGTCTAGATCTTGAACTTGAGCAGATGGATGTGAAAACAGCTTTCTCCATGGTGATTTGGATGAAGAAATATACATGGAGCAACCTGATGGCTTTAAGTCCCAAGAAAGAGGCATCTCGTCTGTAAATTAAAGAAGAGCCTTTATGGTCTTAAGCAAGCCCCAAGCAGTTGGTACAAGAAGTTTGGATTCATTTATGATGAATCATGAGTACAAGAGAACTGTTGCAGACCATTGTGTCTATCTGAAGAAGTTTCCAGATGGGAAATTTGTCATCCTTTGCTCTACGTGGATGATATGTTATAGTGGGCCAAGATGCAATGATGATCAACAACTTGAAGAAGGTTTGTCTAAGTTTCTTTGATATGAAAACTTAGCCAAGCACAACAGATATTGGGCATGAAAATTATCCGTGATAGAAAATCAAGAAAATTGTTCTTATCACAGGAAGAGTATGTTGAACGTGTGATCAAAAGGTTCAACATGGAAAATGCCAAGCCCGTTGGTACGCCCTTGCTACACACTTCAAGTTGAGTAAGAAAAATTGTCCATCTTCTGAGAAAGAAAAAGAAGAGATGAAGGCAGTCCCCTATTCCTCAGCCGTAGGAAGTTTATGTAATGCAATGGTTGTGTACAAGACCAGATATTGCTCATGCTGTCGGTGTTGTGAGTAGATATCTAGCTAACCGGGAAAACAAAATTGGGAAGCAGTCAAATGGATACTTCGATACCTGAAGGGTAGTTTCGAAACTATGTTTATGCTACGGGGGAGCAAACCAATCGTGGAAGTTTATACAGATGCCGATATGGCAGGAGATCTTGATAGTAGGAAATCTACATCAGTTACTTTTTTTTACTTTGGCAGGGGGAGAGCTCGTGGCAATCAAGTTACAGAAGTGTTCGCACTGTCAACAACAGAAGCCGAGTATATTGCTGCCGTTGAAGCTGGGAAGGAGCTTATATGGATGAAACGGTTTTTCTTCAAGAATTAGGCTTTCCACAAGAAGAGTACATCATTCATTGCGATAGTCAGAGTGCTATGGACCTGAGTAAGAACTCGATGTACCATTCCGTACAAAAACATATTTGATATACGTTATCACTGGCTTAGAGAAGCAATTGAGGGACGAGAATTGAAGTGTTTAAAGATCAACACCAATAACAATCCTGCAGACATGTTGACAAAGGTGGTGACACAGAGAAACACAGACTATGTGCTGACATAGTTGGGATGAGATTGTTGGACGGAGACTGGAGGGGAGATTTGTGTGTTCCAGCCTCCAAAGCCTCCAAAGCTACAGTAGCCATCATTGTTGACAAAATGAAACATACGGGACAAGTTTTTCTTCCCACCCTATGATGAACACAATTAATAGACGCAACTACAATGGTGGCTGCCAAGACTATAAATAAAGACTTCATTCTTCAGTTGTATGCATGTCAAAAACACAGAGAAACATATAGTATAACACTTAGAGTGAGAGTGTTAGTGAAAGGGTTGGTTTTTTGTAATAGTTGAGTGTGAGAGTTGCTCCTCCTATTGTAATTCTATTTTCGTGTTTAATAGAAGAGTTTTCCGACCCCAACACAAATAGTCACACTCATTAATTTATGCATCTCTAAATGGTAAAGTAAGTTACATTGAAAAACAATTATCGGTGATAAAGTGAATATTTGCTATATTTATAAATACAAAAGTCACTATAAATCAATTACGGTCATTTTTTATTTTGTTTTTTCAGTGTAGAAAAAATATAGAATCGTTACACATATACGAACGGTCAGCTAATTATTATTTTTGTGACTTTACATTTTTAATTTTTTATGTGACACAAAATAATAGCAAATGTCACATTAAAGACACATTTATGTCGCCATAGGGTCAATAAAAGCCACTATTACATTAAAATGTTTTGTGAACCTATACTAACTCTATATTTTACCACTATTACATTAAAATGTTTTGGAAATGGTATAAAAGACAATGAAACAGTTTAAAAAGGTTTTAAAAATATTTATGAAGTCTAAACTTAGGAATTGGGCATCGTCAGTCCCAATTCCATTCCATAGTTTGATTCTAACATTTCTCACTAGGCTCCCCAAGCCCAAACTATTATTTTAACATGTACTCGCAAGTGAAAAGGAAGGTTAGGATAGTAAGCTTCAATATTTAGAGGATAATGTTTGTATAGTTCATCCTAAACTTATGTAATGATATTGAATGGGAAACTCTCCTACATAACATAACTAAAACCTATAATTTAAATGTTTTGATTACAAATTCACACTGCTACTTTCAAATAATTCAAAAGGTTTAAAAATGATTTAAAAAAACTTAATTTCTACTTTTGCTTACGAGTGGTATTTCAACTATACTTGACAACGGGAGAAACACATCAGTAAAATCTATATCAAGTAGTTGAGTATACCGTTTTTCAATAGTTCATGCTTTGAATCTGACAACCTCTTTTTTCTTGTAAACCCATTTACACCTTATTAGATTCTTTTTCGTAGGTAATTCTTCTGATTCTTTTCCAAATATTCCATTTAAATTTTCATTTTATTCATCTACTTGTCAGACTCATAACTAATTTGCTTCAGTATTAGATGGAAGATTTTGAAACTTTTTAATTTTCTTAAAATTTGCAAAAGCATAAGCAACAAAACTAGAGGAATTAGTGAATCTACTAAGAGGTCAAAAACCATCCTAGGAAATATCGGTTTTAATATAACGAAATTCTGAATATGCAATATGAATTGAACTTGTTGGAACAAAAACCATTTATTGCAACATATAAAGAACGATGTAGTGATGAACAATCCTTTGAATATGCAATATGAATTGAACTTGTTGGAACAAAATTATATCCCATTATCAATCCTGAACTTTTTAAATTTTTTTTCCGGGTTTGATTCGCGATCAAGATCTTTCATTCGTTAAAAGTTGATAAAAAACATCACATTTGTTTTGTTAGAAAACAAAGTCATACCTTTAAGGAGTAGTCATCCATTATCATCAATATATATAACTCGTACCATCAAGAAATTTGTGTATGGAAGAACACAAAAATTATAATGTATATAATCTAAATTTCCTTGGTGGTATGCTTATTGGTTTTGAACTTTATCCGCTTAGATTTAGCGAAAACACAATGTTCGTAACATTTCATCTTAATAACATTTATATGTGCCACATTAATTTTAAGACATTGATCTTAATAAAAAAAAGACTAATTTTGGGCTTTTGGATCGAACTGAATGATATAAATGTTAGTCAAAAAAAATATTTTAAAGTTACTGGTTTTAAGATATTTGGTCGCTAGTTATTCGACAAGGAATTTCATTACTTATCGTTAGAGTTACTGCCATCATTTTTCCACCTTTTTAAGAAAAATAAAAATTCATAATGATAAGCTATTTAAACACCCATCACACCTTTTAAACATATTTTTCTCTATATAGAAACTCATTTCATCCTCATTCTCTCAAAATCCCTAAACCCAACCTATGTCATCGGCCACCATGGAACCACCATCTTCAAACACTTATTAAGGGCATCTCATATGGGTACTATAACCATGGCCGTGATTTCCTTCTATCCCAAAAAAGAACACCACCACAAACCATTGCATATGGTGATGTTATAATTTCCATAGTGAAGAAGAAAGATACAAGAGACAATAAGCGAGATTCAAGAGAGAAGAAGCAAGCTCACTAGTTCTTACAATTGTGGTCGACACCAAATCTCACGGTGTCACGACCACCACAATGCACCCGGGGTGGTGTCCACAGTCATTGTGGCTTGCCACCTTGGCCATGAGGAGCTTCCAAGCTTTATGTATAGAATGACCTTAATAATATACTTTTTCTTAATAATTGTTGTGGTGAGATGTAGATTTGTGTTCTAAATTATTTTCAGTTGTTTATTAAAGAAAGAAATCCAACAAGTTATATTAAATTTAGTATATTGATAAGCATGCGAAACTATGTCAGGTTATATAACTAACTTATTTTCATTTCTCATTATTATTAAAACTTTATTAACATGCTTCATTCTTGCTGGCTATACACATATGCAATATCCGAAATAACAAAAAGCACGTTTCCCGGTTGGGCAGAACCCTATACAATGTGCAGTCCGTGTACATCGGCGCCCCTTATTAGCGGTGTTTCTAATTTGTTTTCCAACATGAGTGACAACTCCTTTCGTTGAAACATCATCTACAAGTCCTAATACTGCAATAATACACAAAAAAAAAAAATAGATATAAATTAATTTGGAGTGTTCATAAGTTCTTTAAACTTAACATAATAACATAAGGAAAAGAGGCGACTATACCGCAAGTACTAAGCACCAACATAGAAATGAAAGCAACTTTGAACGAAGCCTTTATCATTGTTTCCTTTAATTGAATTAATCAAGCTAGAACACGAGAAACTGAAATTGGTATTATAGTAACAAGAGCACAACTACAATAGAAAAGACATAAACAGTCAAAAGCCAAGTGATGAAAGAGTTTTTTTTGTTTTGAATCATTTATAGGATGCCTTCATGTAGGTGACCCCTAGTTTAAGAGATAAGCTTTTAAAAAGTCAACTATTTCAAACCAGAGTAGCATGATACTTCCAGTAACCATCATTTTTGTTTTTTTGTATAAATCAGCATTTCAATGTGAAGGGACTCTTCCTCGTACCCATAGAAAGTCTTCTTTTTTTATATGTGGGTGGCCCCTAGTTTAATAGATAAGTTTTTAAAACATCAATTATTTCAAACCAAAGTAGCCTGGCACTTCTTGTAACCATAATTTTTGTTTTTTTGTGAATTTGCATTTAATTGTGAAGGGACTTTCCTTCCCACACACATAAATTCTTCTTTATAATATATGGGCCAAGGTGTGGGCTGTGGGGTCCTCAAGGCCTTAACATTGAGATGTTAGTTTTCAAAATTAATATGAAAGGTTGTAAAACTAATTCGTGTCAATTGGATCTCGTTCACACGTACAGAAATCATGAATTGCTATAAGTGGGTGAAAGTTTCTAATAACCATAATTAATGAGATCTAAGATTTTAAAACGTGATATTTTGCTAAGTTGTAGAATCTCTAAAAAGTATAAACCTATACAATAATAATAATAACAATAATAATAATAAGTATAAACCAATAATAATAATAATAATAATAATAAAAAAAAAAAAAATGGCAAATGAGTCTAATCTGATTTATCATTTTATAACATTTAGCTAAATTTAGAAAGTTTCTTGGAAATTGTCATGAACTTCACAGGTCTCACTTGTGAAATCACCAATCAATATCATTATAAGAAAAAAAATTCTACAGCTTTCACATGCAAAAAAATATAATAAAATAAATCACTAAATATTATTAAAAGAGAAACATTATGACATCATCTTAAATAATCTGGACCCTTGATTGTATTTCAATCTTATTTTTTCTACACTTAAATCAAATTGCTGACATGATCTTCCTCATATTGAATGTATTTAATTCCAATAAATGCTTTCCAATCGTCAAATAACAACTTACATTCGTTGAAATGGAATGTATTTAATTCCAATAAAAGTTTTCCGTATTTTAAATTTTGAATTTCCGGTTATGAAAATTTTAATATGGTCAATTTTAAAAGCATATTCCTAACAAACCATTTCAATCAAAGCATTAATATCAACCATTAATATAAATCCATTTATATTAGTAAACCATTAATATAAAATCTATTTTTATTTGGAAATCATTAATACCAAAAAATCATATTCAAATTATCACATACATATACGATTCATCCTTGAATCCGCGGCTCACACTTATTTTCAATCGTTTCTTTTCTTCAAACCTTCTCCTACAACATCATTATTATTACTTATAACTTCCATCACCATTCTCTGCTTCAAACATTCACTCTTGTGCACTAGAAGGTCAGTACCTTCTTTCGCTTTTTATATTTTTTTCGATTATTTTTTTGTTCCTATATCAAATGTATGTATTCATATATTTCGATTTTCTTTGTCACAAACTACATTAAATCAGTTAACTATTTTTCTGAAACTTTTCAAATAAACAGGAAAAGATATTGCGTACCTTTAACAAAACAGAAATTAAATATATTGGGAACTGACATTAATTACAAAAATGTTACTTTTATATATTAGAGATGATTATGATTTTTTTTTTAATTTTTATGTCATAAGAATCCGGTTAATTTTGACATGATTTTAAAATATCATTGAAATTATTATGTTTTTGTATATCATATCAACCTACTTTTTTATCTTTATATAGTAACAATAATCTTTATAAATTTACACAACAAATATACATATTTCGAATTTTGTAATATTATTATACCTTACAAAATACAACTCCCTCCAAAATAATTTTCGCTAGTAATTTCATCCATAATTTCACCAAATTTAAATTTGTATTTTCATTATAATTTTTTTTAATGATCCTGATCTTTTTCCTCCAAAAGTATATCAAGCATTTACGTCTTAGATAATGTTGCCCCATTATAATTATTACTTTCCAAAAATATATTCGTTTAATAAGGAATTTGATATAATTAAGGAAGTAAATGTTAATTAGAATGAGATATATATTCCATAATTATTACATGGGTTTATTAAAAAAAATTAATATCAAGGTGTAAACATTAAGCATTTTTAAAGTGAAATTTCAGAATACATACAAACGATGATGTTGTACAATGAAATAAAAAATTGAATAGACTGAAAAAAACTATTAAGGCAGTCAATCTTGAAAATAACATAGTTATGAAAAATTATAAAGTAAGATAAAAATTATAAGATATTAGGAGATTTGTAAAAAAGTACAATTAGTAAAAGCGTTACGGTTATTAGAAAAAACAAGACCGTTAAGATTAGTAAAAATACAATATATAAACTAAATTATCACAATAGTAATGAAATGCCATTATTTGATATTTCATATAATTGAAAAATATACCAAATTACATTGATAATATACTAAAATTATTCAAAGTTGCACCAAAACTAATGCAAAGTTCTTGCGAACACCAAATAAATAAGAACAAACATAAAAGCTAGCACTTATATTCATAATCAATTTAAAAATAAACCAATCATGATTTAGAAAAGAATCTCCATTGATGATATACTAAAATTAAATCCATATAACATTTAACATTCTATAAATTATATTATATAACTTTATTTGAATAAATGAAATAGTTGTCAATATTTAATGCAGTAGAAAAAACGGTATATTGGTTGTCAAAATATGTTTAAATTAGGTAACATTATTATGGAATGAACGTCTAATTAAAATGCTTATAATTATATAACAATATCATAACTATATGAGACGAGGAAGGTCGTTCAACTAATACCATAACCATATTTTTTTATAATCATTATGCAATATCTGTAAACGATTATATGTTTTTTATGCGTTTCCCGCGTTTAACGCGGGCTATAATCTAGTTATTTTTGTAGGAAAAACTTCAATGTTTATTTCCACGTAAAATAATAAATTTATATTTTAGTTTTTGATTTGCAAAAATGCAAATAAATTTTTTTAAGAATTTTAAAGATTTGACTATGAAATTCTTAATTTCTCATAACAAACCCACGGAATAAAAAATGTTAAAACTTTGTGCATGATAAAAATCTTCAAAAGAAGATTTTCACATCAAAACGAGCTTTATATTGTAGTTTAACCTATGAAAGTGACTTTTTTTTTTGGAGAATTTCATAGATACGACCTATAGAATTCTCTATAAAGTATGAACTTCATGGGTTTATAGTTGAAAAATAGTTTTTTTTTATTAAGTTTCTATGGTAGAAATCTTCAACCATTTTCATAGAAAAAAAAAAGAGTTCTAAAATGTGTAAAAATACAATTTTCTGGAGTTTATTTGAAAGAGTGATATGTCTTATATGCGGGGACCACTGAGGGTGTTGGTCCCAAAGTATGCAATCACAATAAAAGGTAACACATCTTATGCTTGAAACATAATTTTATTGATGGAATTCAATTTCTGGATACAAAGATTAATATGAAACGCATCTCATTTTAATTAACAAACTTTCATATCTAACTAATAGCTCTCACAAAGAAACTAATAAACTATTCTCATAGAAGTCAATAAAATGATGATTACCATAACATATATCCTAATCTAAACCTAAATAGCAATCCCATAAGAATCAGGACTCTTCATTGATCTTCAAGCCTTATGTGTATCTTATAATTTAAAATTTCAACAAACTCAATCTTCTTATATTCAAGTCTTTCGTTTTAACAAGGAGTATGTGTGACAACCCGAAACTTTGTCCGTTTCCGTTTCGTGATTTCCGTTAATAAAATTTCAAATTCGTTAACTTTTCCGTCAAACTTCTTGGTTTAGAAAATAATCTAGTTATATATAATTAAATTATTTACGAGTCGGAACCAAAAATCGCACGGAAACCCGATTATCTCGAAAAATCAAACATTTCTGGTCTAAGTGAGATTACGACCGTAAATGTGTTTACGGCCGTAAACTCGTTTACGACCGTAAACCTGTTTACGGTCAGTGAAGAGTGGACCCCCCCACAACACCCCTATAAATACGATGCCTCCACCTTCATTAGAACATTTCTGGCCAAAAACTCTCTTTTTCTCTCTCTAAGAACCTTAACCGTAAACACTCAAAACGCCTTCAAACTTCGGAAATCATCGAGAAACCACGTTTGGAGTCACTTTGGAACGTCTGGAAACGCTCATCTCTTCGAAATCAGCAACCAGCACCAGTGTTCTTGAGTTTACGGTCTGCCTTCAGAAACCGTAAACTCTGTTCTTGAGTTGACGGTCCAAGCCTTCAAAGACCGTAAACTCTGTTCTTGAGTTTACGGCCGTAAACTCGCCGAGCCTTCAGAAACCGTAAACACTAGTTTACGACCGTAAACTATAGATCACGGCCGTAAACATCTTTTTGGTGGTGCTTTTGGCTGAAAACTCATTTTCTTCGATTCGATCAAGTCCCGGTAACATCCTTCAACCGAAAATAAGTGTTTCTCTAACACGTTATCTAACGAAATCGCTAATTTAGATACATATATGTATTTATTTGATAATAGGATTTCGTTAAGTGTCGTGCAACAACTCGAGGATCTTCATTTCAGTCAACGATTTCACGCAACAACTGTGAGTTCATACCCCTACATTTTTCCGTATTTTTAATGTTTTCAGGGGGGGAATACAAGCTAAACATAAATGTTTTCAAAACTTATGCAAATCTCATACTTTAACCCTTTTGTACTGTGTTGAGCATAAGGGACGTTTTCACTAAAATTTGCATAGTTTTCCGGACACGCTATTCACTATACATGCAAACTATAATCGGTATAGTTTGGGAT